CCGAAGTCAAATTAACTCATTTTATAGTCAAAAATTATTATTTTCCACATATTTTCATATATAGGCTTTCCGACTACACGCCCGGACTGCACACACAGATCAAGGTGATGCTAAAAGAGGTTTTTAAGACCTCGGAACGCAGAATTTCATTTTAAAACACGAATCCGGGTTTGTTTACCAAAAATGTAGACCGAAGTCAACCCAAATAAAGTTTTTAGGTAAAATTTCTTATTTTTATCAACTTTTAACATCAAAGCTTTCTGAAAATACGCCCGAAATGTGCACGCAAATCGAGGAGGGTAAAAATGAAAATTTTAAAGCTTAAAAGCACAAAATTGAGTTCTAAAATATAAGATGACCTTTCAGGTCATCACACACCTGTTCGAACACCACTGTTCATACTTTATGTATATTAGTCCACTATTTCAGAACTGAAATAGTATTCAAAATAGTCACGTTTTTATTAAATCAAGACTGTTATCATAAAAAAAATGCAACAGAAACATGATAAAACCAGAATGTCATGAAATATAACACCAGTATTTATACATATGTATATTAATCCATAATTTCAGAATTAAAATACTAATTAAAACAGTCATGTTTTTGACATAGAATAACCATGCCAAAACAACATTGTATTGTATATGTTAATCTACTATTTTCATAGAATAATCATACCAAACATGTATCATTTAACAACACATTTTAATATTACTCTATTCATATTGTATTACATTATCTAGTTAGATGTAAGACGACGTCTGATACCAATTATTAGACATCGGAAGCAAGCATACAATTCAGGCATCAAATACATGTAAACTAGACAATGATATAATTACGAGATTAGAACCACTAACCTCTTGAAAACGTTGCACAGGTTCTCCTCAGAGCAAAAATTTGGGGCTGCAGTCTCTGTTATGGTCCTAGTAAGACCTTGGACGAAATTGCTTTGAGTGGGCAAGAACAATACAGCTTAGAAAAATGAGTTATTGGGTGAAAAACGTCTTCCTTATGTAGACTCGTTTTTCAGGCAAAGAGGGCTCCAAGAACGTGTAGGATTCTGCTTGTGCAAGTAGAATCCTACTCTAACTCTATCCTACTATAATTAATTATAGTTTATTCCACTAAAAACTGCAATTGAACTCCTCAATATGAATTTCGAAAATTCACTAACACTTATTTTAACTCCCCACGTTAAGATCATAAATACCAGTTAATTAAATTAAATTACTGATAATTTAATTTAATCAACTAATTAAATCCTCTATAATTCCGCTTAAACTATTTCATGTGACGGATACAAAATCTACCAGCCGGATTTTCACATGAAAACTTACAAGATTACATAAAGAGGTATCATAGGACTCAAAATCGAGTCATGGATTCTATCAACTAATTATTATTTCACAAATGCTATTTGTTATTGTCCAATCTATTAGGCATACACTAACTCTGAATAGAGTTGTACCTTTTGATAAATTCAGAACAATAATCAAGTCACATTGTTCATAATAATTATATCAACATTAGGAGTATAAGCTCATTTAATGGATTAGAGAAAATATTTTATATATATTCAGTACAAAACATCTTTTCTCTACTTGGTCCGTTCAATATACACTAAGTATACTAGCACAAGAAGTAGGAGTAAAACCATTCCCATAATCAAGACAAATTATACTATAATCTTGTGCCACAATCATCAAGATATTTTGCCCAATAATGTCTTCGATTGTGAGAACCGACAGTTTAATCTTCTGTGTATGAGCTAAGACTCCATACACTAAATTGTCTACTATATAACTAAATGACACACATGTAACAAATGAACTATTTAAAATAGTACTTTATTGAATTGAATAAATTAAATAAACAATTATTCCATAAAGAATAAAATATAATACTATGTCTAAACTGCATGGTTAATAATATATCTCAACAATATTTACAATTATCTATTTACTTTTGAATATGAACAACTAGTATACATCTAATATTATATTTTAACTCATTTCCTACTGCGATAAGACAAAACCCATATTAGGATTATTACATCGTCTACAAAGAGGTTTTTAACTTTGGAAATAATTAAAATAAATTACACTGAACAACTTCTTCAAGTAGTGAAGAGATTCTAGATGAAGCAATTTGACGTTTGTATTTTATTTGGACTCCAAAAAAAAAAATTACATGACATCACGATACTTTTAGTAAAGAAAATTACAGTGAAGATTGTATATGGAATATGCAAAAATTGTTTTGGCGCAAAAAGGAAGAAAAGAGATAAAATAACCAGGTAAGCTGATAAGGAAACAAATAGATAATGTGTAGGAAAAGAAAAAGTAGGAAGAGCAAGAAAAGTTTTTAATATATTTATGGACAAGTTATTAATTATTTAAACTATGATTGGGGCCTTGCTTTAGTCAATTAAATCTTAGCCATCAATTCTAATATATACCATGTGTTCCTAATCTAAACTAGAACTTGAAAAAAATGCAGAGAAGAGAAATGGAGAGGAATCGGATCACTTTATTAGTATTAATTGTCTATCAACTCTTAACTAAGCTTTGAGTAAAAAGGAAGAACTCTTATATCTATGGAATATTAGTCAAAGTGAAAAATGAACAAAAACAACCTAAACTTTCTATTACATTTTGTAACTTCTTTGTTGAATAAAAGAGAGAAATAAAGATATATTTATAAGTAATTGCAAACTCTATTTCAAATATCTTGCATATTTAGTTGCTATTTCTTAATCCATAAGTTTAACTTACTCGTATTTATTGCTTATTTATTTTTGCAACGACCCCGTCAAAAATAGACAACGAAAAATCAAAGAAGGAAATTTGAAAAGGAAAAAAGTTAAAGTTAGTTCAAGCGTTAGTGAAGTGGCAGAATGATACTTTACATTTAATACTAATTGTGACTTGTGTGAGAGAAATTTGGGAGATTTAGAGTGTGTTTGGTACGAAAGAAAATATTTTCCAAATTTTTCATGTTTGATTTGCTTAAATATTTTGGAAAATATGTTCTTCATCTAACTCATTTTCCTTCAATTGGAGGAAAATATTTTTCCTATCAAGAGAAGGGGAAACATTTTTCAAAACTCCTTTTTAACCTTTCCCACCCTATTTTCCATCCCCGCCAACCCACTCCCACCCCACCCTTGCCCTAACCCCCCACCCTAAATAGAAATATTATTAATGACACTTTCTTTTGATTATAGATAAAGTATTTTTTTTCATTTCAACAAATGAGTATTTTTCTTTCATGATTTTAAAAAGTATTTTTTTCATTTTAACAAAAAAGTACTTTATTTTCATGATGTAAAAAAATATTTTCTTTCCTTTCAACAAAATGATGTAGTAAAAAGTATTTTCTTTCATTTCAACAAATTTTTTTTTCCTAAAAAGTATTTCTACTCTCTAATCAAATACTAGAAAAAAATTTACAGAAATATTTTTCCACCCACCAACCAATAAGTTATAAAACCACTTATTTTCCATGAAAACATTTTCCTTCGTACCAAACACACCCTTGATTTTATGAGCTATTTTAAACGTCGTTTTAGTTATGTTATACTTTTCAAAGAGAAGCAATAAAGAAATGAATAGAAAAGATATGTGAATAAAATTCAGAAAAGTTTATAGGATCATTTTTTCTTGTACTCAAATATTTGACCTTAGACTTAGACTACGTAGCTCGATGGGCGCCGAGATACTCTCACGTATTCGCATATTCTCTTGATAGTTCCTCCGATACAACGACCTTCCGACATTAAACTATTTTTTACTACTATTTATATTTCATATAGAGTGGAGGCGAACTTATGTATAACATTGAGTAGGTGGATTTAAAATTTTCAGTATATGTGTGCACTCCTAAAAAAAGGAGAAAAAAATATATTAAGTGAGAATTGATCCTTATTTTTCTTGGTAAATAACTCAATATTTAACCAAGTGTATCATTCAGCCTTCTTGGAGCATGAATGTCATCAGTTTATATTATACTACCAATTTTAGAAAATATATATATAAAATATCTAATTTTACGGAGAGACCATGGGTTCACGTGCCCCATAATCTTGTCTATAAATCCGCCCCTGACATTGAGGGGTCATCGAACCCCGTAAACCTCGATAAAAATACGTATATGCGTATACCTTGAAAATGGTCAATTTAAATAATTTGATATTTGAACACTAAAAGTATTTAGAGGACACTGGTTAAACAGAATATTGGTGTCTCTACTGCGTGCGTTAAGATCTTGGGTCCACCTCTAACTATTCTCATACCATGTGTTAATATATGAACCAAAAGCCAATTTCCATTATTGCCAGGAAATAATGTAGTAGAAACAAATAAAAAAATTAGCAAAGCCCAACAAACTACATATGACAAGTTGCAAGAGTTGTTTTTAACTTTTTTTCTTTTACAAGAATTGTTTAATTTAGCAGGTACCTCTCCTTTCTTGTCTTAGACTTGAATATAGAGATTAGAGAATGAAAAATCTAATCTGTGGACCATGATGAAACCGACGTAGATAGAAACGTCAAAGTGGCTGGCTAGGTTGGCCCATTGAGATGTCCGAAAAGGAGCCAACATGTGTGAAATTACAATGTGTTTATATCGTAGGCGTGCACGAAACATCCCGCATTTATGTATGGGCCGGGAAGGACCGCACCCCAAGGGTGTGACGTAGACAACTTATACCCTAATGAAACATTAGTAACTGATTTCATGGCTCGAAAACGTGACCTATAGGTCACACGAAAATAACTTTACCGTTGCTCCAAGCCTCTCCTCCAGGGGCGGATTTATAGCCTATTTTATGGGGCACATGAACCCATATAGTCTCTCCGCCAAACTAGGTATTTATGTACATATTTGCTAGAATTGATCTAAATATTATCTGGTGTCATTCATGCTTTAAAGGAGCTAAATGGTGCACTTGGTTGAATGCCTAATTAATACCCAGAGGAACATGGAACAATTTTCACATTACTTAAAATCGAGCTGTGAGTTGTTATGTGGACTCTATTGATTCTCTCTTCTATCAATAAAAATATTTTCAACCCTCTACCTTACTAGAGTTAAGATACAATAAATTCAAAGACAAAATACAAAGATGATCACTGCCAACAACAGCATCAACAGTAACATTAATGGGAGTTATGATATACCAGGCAGCAACAGCAGCAGCAGCAGTAGTTTAGGGAATGAGATTGAAGAAATAGAAGATGATAATATGAATAGTGGTTATGTTGTGGCAACTGAGTTGTTGGAGATCAATGAACACAGAGGAGGGTTAGCTTCCATTAAAGAAGGTGAAGTAGAAGGTAGCTTATATTCCTTTGATTTCCACAACAATGGTGATCATACTGTTGTTTATGTTGCTGTTGGTGATAACAACAAGATTAGCAAAGAGTCAAGTATGGATGCTCTTCTTTGGACTCTTAAACATGTTGTGGCTGATCCCTCTTCTACCATTCTTTTCCTCATTCATATCTATCCTCAGACCAAATACATCCCTTCTCCTTGTAAGCTCTCTCTCCCTTTCCTTCATTTTCTGTCTTTAGTTTTCATATCTTTCCCGTACCGAGGGTCATTCGGAAACATCTCTGCCTTCTTGAAGGTAGGGTAGGTCTGCGTATATACTACCTTCCCCAGACCCCATTTGTGGGATTACACTGGGTCTGTTGTTGCTGTTGTTCTTGTACCGAGGGTCTACTGGAAACAACTTCTCTGCCTTTTTATAGGTAGGGGCAAGGTCTGCGTACACACTACCCTCCCAGACCCTACTTATGGGATTACACTGGGTTTATTGTTGTTGTTATTGTTTTATCTTGTCTATCTCTACCTATTGTAATGTTCATTGGGTTGACTTGTAAAGTCAACAACTGAGGTTGGAATGGTTATACGATTGTTTAGATTGATATATTTGATGCAAAAGCCAAGTTTGTAATGGTGATTTTGATTAGTTAAAAATTGATAATTCTGTCAATGAAATCATAATTGACCCCGAGGAATTGATGGAATGGGCTACTGCCTATGAACTCACTTGCTCAATCGAGCACATGATACAGCACTGCCGGCAAGAATTTTGGCACAGATCATGACTCAAGATACTAATGCTTGCATTAGGTTAGACTGTCTACATTACACCCCTAGGGAAGCAGCCAGAAGCGAACACACACTATAGGTTGAGGGGCCACTCGCACCCGAAAATTTCCGCAAAAACTCCATGTAGACTCGCAAATATCTTCATAAAATAGTCAAATATTACCATAGACCCCCATGCCAAGCTTTATGAGCAGTGATAAATTTAATATTGAATGTCATGGTACCCCCGACATCCAAATCCTGAGTCCGCCTCTAGGTGCGGCCCTTCCCCGGACGCAGTAAATGCAGGATGATTTATGCACTGGGTTGCCAGTTATCATGGCTCTAAGGCCTGCGGATTTTGTGACAATTGTGCCTGAAAGTATAAAAAAGCTCTTCTTAGTCCAGAATCTCCGTTCATTTCATGCTGGGGAGCAGACATCTGATTTTGGATTGGATTAGTTTGTTGTAATCTAGGTGAGACTTCAACATTGACAAATTGTTACTTGTGATGATTACACCAGTGGGAATGATTCCAATAAGCCAAGTGAGTGCTGAGCAGAAGGAGAACCACATGGCTCAAGAAAGAGGCAAGAGGAGGCAGTTCCTTCAAAGGTTTTTTGATGCATGTGCTGCTGCAAAGGTACACATTATTTTGATAAACAAAGATAGCATGAGGCTATGTAAGGCTATGTTGCTTAGACTCTCCGAAGATGTTGTCGGGTGCATGTCGGATTCTCCGAAAGCAGTGCATTTTTGGAGAATCCGACACGAGGCGGCAACATTTTGTAGAGTCCACGCAACAAAAATGTAAGGCTTGAGGCTAACCATGTAAAAAGCAATATTCAACAACAGGTTAAAGTTGACACCATACTTATAGAGAGCGACACAGAAGCAAAAGCAATACTGGACCTTATTCCTATCTGCAACATAAGAAGGCTGATCTTGGGCACCTCTAAAGCCAATCTCAAGTATGAAATTCACTTAAATTTTAGAATGCATTGTCCCCTCCTAGCTATATATATATCCTCATTTCTGAATCTTGTTAATCTTAATTCACTTCCCACTTAAGCAGTGACGTAGTCACACTATCTCAATGGTGGTCAAGCAAACACTCTTCGTTGAAAAATTATATTGCTGTATATAGTTTAAATACTACTTTCTATGAGTATATATTACATCTTGCACGCATTTAACATAGTTGAGTGGGGTAATTTAGTGGTCTAGGGTGTTCAAAGTGAGGTGCTTTTCATGGGTTCAAGTCCCTATCTAAACGTTTTCATTAAACGGAGACCACAATATGTGATCTATTGGACTCTTTTCTAAAAAATTTCTCAATATAAAGCTCTAAAAACTTAAATTTTGTGAAAATACTATAGTTTTATAGTTCTAGTACAAGTGTTTTTATTGTTTAGATTTAACAAATTTGGTGCACCCCTTCATCGAAAAAATTAATTTCTTTAAAGTTTGAACTCCCTTGTCGAGATTCCTGGCTACGATACTGTTCTTAACTATTTCTTTTTGATGGGTTTTTTAAGGAAACTAAAGTCGAAAAAAGGTGGCGGAACAGCGGATGAGATATTACTAAATGCACCTGAATTCTGTGAGGTCAAGATAATATGTGAAGGCAAGGAAATGGTTGAGCTGCAGATGTTTGAAACAACTTCTCCCCAAGCCAGTGCTGGTGACAGTCCAAAGCCAATTCAAAGTCATATCCAAGATCAAAATCAGCCCCAGAATGAATCTTTCAGATGTGGATGCTTTAAACCCAGAGTCATGCAGTAAATCTTCAACAATCTGCATTAGATCAATACCAAAAATTCAAGACTGGATGTCAATTTCAAGTATTACCACCAAAACCTGCCCCAAGGTTTATCATATCATAAAATATGCATGAACGTCTGTAACTATTCTATATCGATAAACAATTAACATACACACCATCTCTGATATCTTAAAAAAGACGTAAAGTTCTCTTTTTTCCTTCAATCAACTACATATCCTTAGATCCTAGTCAATGGCGAAGCCAAGAATTTCTCCAAGGATGTTTAAACTTAAAAAAGTAAAAAATAGTTCCGCCAAAGAGTGTTCAATATATGTAATATACCTCTAAAACCTAATATTTTACTTATATATATAGTCTAATTTTCCGACAACCTTACCAAAGAGTAGCTTCTCCCCTCATCCTAGTAACTTTGGTCTTTGCATAACTTACAAGTGAATCTGAAGTTGGTCCTATAACACAAACTTTTGGTATCAGTCAATTCTCACCCTTATCATTTTCTGCAGCCTTCTCAATTCTAAGGCATCATAGTTTTGATTTTTATTTTCTTTTCTCATTTGAATTCAGTTCTTTCTATGTTCTACTAGTAAGTACAACTCTGTATTATTATCCTAAAAGATATCTTCTGTATGCTGTGTTAAAAAGTTCCAATCTTTTTGGAACTTAGAGCCAATAAAAGGTTTGTTCACCTTACTCATAAAGAACTTCACAAAATTAGTACTATCAAACTTTATCAGTAGAAGCAAACACACACCTAGATACCTCAGATAACCGTGAAAAAAGAAACAAAAGGAACAAAGTTGAAGCTTACCTCAACAGATAATCAACGACGAAAGAAGATCAAATATCAATAGGTGCAGAAAACCGAAGCAACAACTCAAGAACCCATAGACGAAGACGTAGGGAAAAAGAGTTGGACATGGTGAGAAACTAATACTTCAGCCTCAATGTAATACTACAGGAGCCAGTAATCAAAAACTACAGCAGACAATAGAAAAATACAGTGAGATACATAGGAAATGTAGAAGAAAGCACAATTCATTGAAGAATTTTTTCAAACACCTACAGAACAAAAGCTCTTGGCAGGTAAAAGCAATTTCTCCAGAGAAAACACAAATTTCTAACATGCTATCAAAGATGGAAAAGATGATAGTAATAGAAAGCACAAGATATATATACTTGCAGTAATCTATCATTTAGACTTTTTTTTTTGTTAGCAAGAAAAATAATGGAGAAATGATAAATTACTAAAACAAATATACAAAAAAGATCAGCCACCTATAGTTTTCACATAGATATGCAAATGTTCCAAAGAATAATTTAAAACTTAAGAGGTCACAATTCGAACGGTAGTGTCACGAGTTTGAATCTCAACAACCTTTTAATCACTGTTTTCTGTTAATTCCCAATCTCAAACATTCTATACATATGTGAAATACCAGTCGAAGCTTGAATTGGTTCAGTCTGCTCACATATGTGAAATTCCAGTAAGTGTTAGATCAGTGAAGGGGCGTAAGCGTAAAGTTGCTGCCACGTGATCACTAGATCACGGGTTCGAGCTGTAAAAATAGTCCCTTGTAGAAATTTAGGGTAAGGCTGCGTAGTATAGGCCCTTATGGTCCGCCCTTCTCCAGACCTCACGCATAACCAGAGCTTAGTGTTGGGATCGAAATAACATAATGCATACGGAAACTAACAATACAAAGCTTGGTGGACGATAAATCAGACGACAAAAGAAAAATATGTTAAACCAATCATAATAGTTTATAATAGTTTGGTCAATTGATCTACGTATGATAAACTAATATAAAAGAAAAACTATCGAGAGGTGGATATTTTTCTTGTACTCTTGTGAGAAGCAAAGATACTTAATTTATAGATGTGCAAAACTTGTCGTCCAAGAAAAGTATAAGACATATTAAGGAGACGTAATCCTTTTAGAAGTCTTTTTCCATTCTTTCAAGAAAGAGAGTCCTAATAAATTAGAAATTCAGGGCAAATCCTAACACTTAGTGCACCAGACTGCCTTTCATTAAGTGTTAGATTAGATGTATTTTTGGTCCTCGCTTGTTGTCCCATATATTTTCAGTTTCTGCTGTTGCAAGAAATTCCTGTTAATGATTCTAAAAGAGAGTGAATAACAATACGAGAGTTAACTAAAGAAAGCGTAGATATTACATCAATTTTCCAAAGAAATATTAAAGTATGCTTAGGTACGACAGTTATTAACTAAAGAAAGGGTAGATATGACATACAATGCCTGAGAAATATTAAAGTATGCTTGGGTAGATATTCATTACTCTCTAAATCTTGTGCATTCAAATTAAAGCAAACGCAAAAATAGTTGGGTAATTATGCTTGCTAACAAAATAACATGCACCATAATCATCATATAAAAAAAGAAAAAAAAAAAAGAAAAAAGGAAAACAACAAAGCCATACAACATTTTTTGGACGAATAAAAGTCTGTGTCAGCACATTATTACGATTATGGACATTCTTGAAAATTTAAATCCTTTTTTTATATAATCGACGGCGAAGTCGGAATTTTTACCATAGAGATTTCAGAAAATAAAAAAGTAAACATACAAAGAAATCAAGGGATTCCCCTTCCGCCAACCTAGCTCCGCCCATATCTCTAACAGATTGTTTTGTAATTATGCATATATTGTTAGAAGATAATTCTTATATCTCCAAAATAAAATATAATATATTCATTATCATTTACTATCGATGATTAATAGCCATTATTATAATATTATAACTAATTTTTTATTAGCCTTAATGGCTTTAATTTGTAACAGCCATCTCAATAGCCTTTGAATGACATTTAATAATTTTTAAAACGTTGCTTAGAAGTTAAAATCTTTGGATTATATATATATTTTTCTATGTGTTACTTTGTGTAGGAGAGTGAACAAAGTTAAAACTTTTCTTTCCTTTTCTTTTGTACTGGGTTTTCTTTTATACAATCTTTGTTGTTTCTGCTCCTAGTTTATACTAGAAGAGCTTGTTGAATTCTGGGGGATATGCCTAATTTTATTCATTACGGTGTAGGCGAAATATCCTTAAGGACAGTATCTTTGACACGCCTCAAGCTAAACCTCATATTCTCGATAATCATCCAATATTTTTCCAACAAATCTTAAGGATATTTCACACTCTATTCTCATGGAGAATACCGATTGCAATATTTCGCTGATGCTCGTTATAATGGAGTACTGAAATTCTCAAGTATTTCGTACTGCTCACAATTTAATTATAGCAGCCACTAATTCCAAGTCCAAGCTCCATCCAACAGAAGTGAAAGTAATGAAAGAGATAGCCAAAAAGCTTGGGAAAAGAGATTGAGATTTTAACAAGGATCCTTGCAGTGGAGAAAGGAACTGGAGTATTGCAGTTATTGTTAAAGGAATTGAGAGTTCCGTTGCTTGTGATTGCTCTTTTAACAATAATTCTACCGGCCATATTACCTCCATTGTGTCAAACGGTTCGACTCCTTTTATTTTATAAAGGAAGATGTCACAACTTGGCAAGAATTCCGAGTCACGCCATTATTTGGAGACATTGGAACCATTTGTTGTTGATGTTCCTCGTAAATATTATTCTGGTATGATCTCCAACCTAATTACTGAGAACTTATATTTTAAAATAAATGAGAGCATGCTTTGCGAGGACACAAGAGAGTAAATTAAGATTTATTAAGATTATATCATTATATATTTTGAGTATTAAGATTGAGATATTAAATAAATTTACTACATAGAAGTGTTGCAACAAGCATTTGGTGTTATTATCTATTATTGATGTGGTTAAATTTGTTGTGTCGTTGGATTTCAAATGTGTTATTTGATTTCTTTTGAAGAAAATCAATCAAGATCATTGACTTGCATTAGTTAGAATTAATGGATTTTCTTATGAGAAACAAGTAAAAATCTTTATGAATTGTGAAAATATTATATCCTTAACTTGAAATTTCCTAAAATGTGGGGGATCGGGTGTCCAGAGTGTTATAGCCCGGTCATAAGAAGGGAAATGTGAGGGAAAAGATTATTTTATGATTTTGATATCATTGAAAGTGGTCAATATCAGACGTATGCTTGGGGAAAAAAGTCATTTGAAGATATTTTAAAGACAATGAGGGACAGACAGTGTGACTATTTGACAATGTATAGGCTTGGAGGTTTGCCACTTACATTACAAATATGGTTTTTTGAGTGTTGCTCTATGGTTGACAAGCATCTAGCTGTTCGTGTTGGCACAAATGTGCCATGCATTCTTAATTGGAAAGTCACTGAAACTCCAACATATGCGGATTTGGCTGGCGGGGTGATCATGTCTAGTATCGACAAGGTAAACATTTTGTACCATAATACTTCTTCATATATGATTTCAATTTTTCTTTAAGTATGTATATTTATGAATATGTCACAATTTCCTTTTTCTACTATTGTAATCCAGTTTTTCTTCTTGTAATTGAACTATAGGAACATTTCCCCTACTCGTGAAGAGATGTCAACTCTGAACATCGCGACACATTTTGAAGTTACTGCCGATGATGTTGCATCAGGGAAGGTGCCTGCCTTTCACACTGATGTTGTTGCTGCATCTCCACCTTATCCTCAGAATATGGAGCAACAGTCTAAACGACCTTATCCTCAGAATACGGAGCAACAGTCTAAACGACATTTTCCTCAGAATATGGATCGACAACCTAACCCGAGTTATGATCCTTCAGTGCATATTGATCTGTTGAATGCTGAAGTTGAGAAGTTGAGGAGTGCTGTTGGAAAGGTACTAGAGCTTTAGCTTTTCTATAGTTTATCGGTACTGTAGACATGTGATTTTTGACCCTCCCCAAGATCTTTTATATATTAGCGTAAAATATTTAATTTAGGCATAATATAGATATTTCAAGTAATTTTGACTCTTTTACTCTAATTTATTACAAGGAAACAAAATCACAAAAATAGGTTCATTTATGTTTTGTAGTCATTTTTAATTTAAAAAAAAAATCTTAAAAATATATACAACAATAGTATCGTATTTTTATTTTAATGTGATATTTTGAAAATACCAAAAATAGATTTGTTTTAATGGTTAGTTTTATTTTAATAATTATTTGAATAATAGGAATAATTAACAAATGGACGGTATTTTTAATCTCATTCGCGGCAAAAAAATAGAGCTTGGGCTCGAGCAACCCATCTTTAGGCCTAATTTTGGACCTA